CCCCCCTCTCTCTCTCTCTCTCTCTGTCTCCCTATCTCTCGTTTTTGGTCTTTGGCTCGCTTGCCTGTTCCCAGGCCAGCCTAGGGCGGGCCCCGGGGACCCAGGACCCGGGCCGGGGGGGGGGAGCCCCGGCTTGGCTGAAGGGTGGCCGCCGGGCCCGGGCCAAATAAACGGTCAGTCCCCCTGGGCGCCTGTGGGCCGCCCGGGCTTACGCCGGCTGCGCTGCCGCGGGGGGGGGGGGGACGAGGGGCGGGCTGCGCGCAGGGCGGAGCACGTTCCCGGGAACATGCGCCGGGTTCTTCTCATCCACGGCGCGCGATGTGAGGGGGGAGATGAGGACGCGCCCGACCTGCAGGGTGCCGCGGGCGGGCCCCCGGCTGGTGGGGCACCCCGCTCCGGGAGAACCGGCGGAAAAAGGGCGAGAGAGCGAGCCCCCGCCGGCCGGCGACAAGGCCCCGGGAGAGGGGCGCGCGAGGGGCGACAGAGGGGGGGCGTCACGCGCGCACGCCCCCTCGCGGCGCCGGGCGTTGGCGGCCGGTCGGCAGTGGGGCCTGCCGCGGGTCGGACCGCAGAGAAGCGCCGGCCGGCCCGGGGCGCGGGACGGGGTCTGGCCCCCGAAGGCCGGGCCGGCGCCCGACGGCCCGGGATAGCCGGGGCAGCCGGCGGCCCTCGCTTCTCCGGGCTCTCTGGCGCGGTGGCGACCGGGCCTCCTCTCCGCGCCGCCCCCTCGGGCCCAGGCCGGGAGGGAGGATGGAGAAGAGCATCTGTGTCCGTCTATGAGTGCGTACGTGCGTGTGTGTGTGTGTGTGTGTGTGTGTATCTGTTCTGCTGAGGAGGGGGCACTAGTGCGAGGCGCTGGCCGGGCGGGGCGCCGGCCTTGCCACCTGCCTTTTGCGGGCCTGGAGAGTCTTTTTTTTTTTTCGGCCCCCATCCTGTGAGCCCTCCTCCGCCTGGGGGCCGGGCATCCCCCTACTCTCCCCTGAGGGCTGGCTTCTTTCATTCACACGCACACGCACACGCACGCGCGCACGCGCACACACACGCACACACCGACCTCCTCCCTCCTCCTTTCTTTGCCCCCTCTTGCCGTTCCCCTTCCAGCTTCCCCCCTCCCCTCCCCCGTCGCGGCAGTTGTACGTCATCCCCCCTCCCCCCTCTCGCTCGCTCGCTTGCGCCTCGCCTCCCGTTCCCAATCCCCCCTGGAGCTCGGATGGGCGGCCTCTCAAACGGCTGCCTCTCCGCCTCCCTCCCTCTCATCGCGGTCTTGGTGCTTACGTCAGTTACTCCTGGCCCTCCCGCCCGTCTCCTTGCCTTGCTCCTCCCCACGGCGGCCCCCCCCCCCCCCCCCCCCCCCGGGGGGCAGGCCTCTGCTCTGTGCTCAGATCGCGTTCACGGGCACTCTCCTTCCCTCCTCGCCCCTCCTCTACCCCCCCCCCCCCCGCAGGTGGCCATGCAGTCCTCCACCCCCGGCGGCGTGCGGCTCTTCATCGGGGATGACAGCGACAGCGATGACTCCCTTTCGTACGGCCGTGCCCCGGCGCCGGGTGGTGGCAGTGGCAGTGGCCCGGCATCCGGCGCGGTCGGGGCATCCTCCTCGGCCGCGGGCGGGATCCCGCCCTCTGATGCGGTGACGGCGCGGTACTCGCCGCCCGGCCAGCGTCACGCCCACTCCTCGCACCATTCGCTGGCCCCGTCGGGCGGGTCGAGCCAGCATCTGGCCGGCACCGGCGGCGGCGGCGGCGGCGG